GACTCTGCGCTCGTTTCTCTACCGGACTTGTCGACGTTGATATCCCCAGGTCTACCCCATGTGTCACCGCCCAAGCCACAACAGCCTATTGTCATCGAGCGTGGATCGGACGGGTTTGACGTGGCAGGAGGCGATATCGCCGATATGATTACGAGCCCAATGGTGTCTTCCACGCCCACAATTTTTCGTGTTGGCAAACTACGGGAGGTAGCCCTTGGTTTGGCGGAGACGGCGACGCGACACCGTCGCGACGGTCAGCGCAGCATCGCACAACGCAGTCTTTCTCATTCGTTTGACGGCGCAGAGGAAGGGTCGCCTCATGGGTCAGTTGACACACTCGAAAGAGAAGCAAGACCCCCAGGTCCGCCGTCAAACTCAGAGCATCATCCGATTGCCGCGGCTGTCGGCGCAGATGCGGGCGTCCCTGTCACAAACAGTGGCGCGGACGCGACAGAACAGCTTGTGGTTGGGTCATCGGCGATAGCACGGCGCGACAGAGCCACTGTTTTGCCGACAGTGGCATTCTATGCCAGCGGGAAGAGTACTGGGGGGATGGATGAGCAGGGAGTCCGGAATGTTGGCAGGCCATCTGCACCGTCTATGGGGAAACGATCCATTGGGAGTGTGGATGGTGCTCGACACACCGCCATGGCAGACTTTGAGGACCGACATGGGAGTGCTTTGCCGACGAAGACGTCTGATGTCCATGCTACGAGAGCCGCAAAGGCGAGTCTTTCTCGGGCAAGGAAGAAGGCCTCGGCAAGGAAGGCGTCACGTTCATCCTCACATATGCGTTCCCGAGAGAGAGGATCGGGCATTGTGCATCTCGAGGACGGAGAGATTGCACCTGACGGCGACGCATTGGATGTTGGAGGGAGGGATGCAACGACGGGGAATATCGTCGGCAAGGAGGACACAGGGAATGCAGTGGCAGGTCAGAAGAGACGCGGCAGTGTACTTATCGTCCACGACGACAGCACAGATGTCGCCCCGGGAGAGACCACAGGCACTGATGATGCAGGGGACTCCGATTACGTACCCAAACCACGGGCGACAGATGGAGATGATGGAGGAGGGCGACGAGTGAGACCGAGGACACGACTCGGGCCGCAAGGGCAGCGAGCACAGGGCACACCATCGACGATGATTTATGCCCCCATAGATCGGCGAGCTAAGGCGCAGCGGCTGCTGCGCAAAATGTAGGCCACTCTTCAACAGACGCACGGGTTATCGCTTGGCCGCGAAGAGACGGAGACTCAGAGAGAGGGAGAGAGGGAG